CACACATGCAGCTAAAGGTGTACCTCGTGGCCGGTCTGGCTGCCTTCACAACGATGGCCTTGGCGGCGTCGCACTCACCAGCAGCTGGCAGCGATGCTGGCTCCCTCGTTGACAGCATCAAGGTTGGCGGCGATGCCTCTGACAAGCCCGCTGCCGGCGGCAAGCCTGCAGGCGCAGATAAACCAGCGACTCCCGCTGCCCCAGCCCTCCCAGCCCTCCCTCCATCGCCAGCCAAGCACGCCAAGGGCGAAGGCACGTATGGTGTTGGCAAAAAGACCCTTGGCGACAACCCCCCGTCCACGATGCCGCCAGCGGAGGCAGCAAGAAGAGCAAGCGCCGGGCATTCCGCCAGGCCTCCTCGGCATTTGATCCCAGCACAGTTGACATGGGCATCAAGAGCACGTGGTGCAACGACAACACAAACTTCTGCAACAACGTGTGTCTCAACATGACGTGGGGTGCGCCCATCAACGACGGGTGCGAGGCGTCCAACCTCCAGTGGCACTGCACGTGCGGCAACGGCAAGAACCCGGACCCGGATATCTACACGTTCCCGGTCATGCACTACACCTGCCAGCACGAGGTGCAGCAGTGCCAGGACCACTGCTCGACCGGCGACATCAGGTGCACCCAGGAGTGCCAAGGGGACAGGAACTGCACGGCGCCCAAGGACCCGAATGCTGGCAAGACGATGGCGCCAGAGTCCGACGGCGAAGACGGGCTGGACTCGATGACAGGCAATGGAATGCTGGACTCGGATAAGCCAAACTTCTTCAACTCAGCGGCGCTAGCCAGTGCAGGCGGATATGTATTTCACCGCTATCGTGGCGTCGTCTCTACATCTGATGGGTCTGCCTTAGGACCTGTCTCGCTCACAACCACAGACTCTTTTTTACCTTCACATTATTTCTGAACAACACCATCGCCATCTCACATGCAGAAAACAAATGTCTAGGCATCCTCATCAGGGTCCGCGTGGTCGCCAAACGGCGACTCGTGGGGGTATGAGAAGGTGCGGTTGAACTTGAGCAGCCTGTTGATATCGTGGGTCCAGCCGGCAGCCAGGTTCTCTCTATTGATACACATCAGCGGGTACGCCGACCGGCGGATCTCAATCGACTGGTCCTGCCGCAGCTCGCCGCAATTCCTTCCGTCAATGTACGCGGCAGCCCGGCCGCGGCTATCCTTGTGCACCTGCAGGCGCACCACAGCGCTTGCGGGGAGGATCAGTGGACGAAAATGACAAGGACCGAGGACACACTGGCGTCAGGATCATGCTGCTGACCAAGGGATGCACAATTGGGCCGCCCGCCGACAAGGAGTATGCAGTCGAGCCCGTCGGCGTACCAACAATGATCCCGTCGCCGACCGAGGTCGTCAGCAGCTGGTTATTGATATAGCATGCAATTGTAGTCAGGTGCGGGTATGTGCCACGGTGAATGCACGCTTCGTTTGTGATGTTCAAATGCCCATCCGCCATCAGCCTGCCATCCTCGTCGTATTTCGAGTACGACAGACGCATGCGCGGCAGCACAGTCGATCCGCCCGCAATAACCCCCCGTAGCTGCTCCTTGTATGTGGCCACATTGAACGGCAGCAGAAAGCCAAGCGTGCCCATTGAAAATGGGATAATTGGCGGCACATGCGTCTTGAACAGCGACGAGACATGCAAAAACGTGCCGTCGCCGCCCAGCGTAATCACAAAGTCCACCACCCGAGAGTACTCGTCTGGCTCGCCTTCGGGAATTGTGCGCACAAATGGAATTGTCTGTGCTACCTGCGTGTACACAGCTGGCTCCAGCACAACGTTCATATCGGCATATGTGCTGTGTAGCCAGCTGGCAATGTCCACCAGGGCGCTGTCGACCTTTTGGTCATTGGCCTTTTTGATTATCAGCACGGTCTTTGGCCCGCCTGTCGCCCAGTCCAGCCGGTACCGCTGGTCAGTATCAGACTCCAGGTACAGATTGCCATTGCCGTTGCCAGTCATAGCTCGAGTGATCTCGGGCAGGTTCTTTGTAGGGATGTCGGCTGTGCTCAGAAACGTCCGCCGCTGGATGCCTGTCCATTGAGGCGCTGCTGCTGGCCGGAGAGACCCACGCACTCGGGCAAGGTGGAGAGGCGTGGACCGGAAGAGCCGAAAGACACGCGAATTCATCAAATTTCTTTTTTAAAGTAATAGAATGGTTTCAGATATGACGAGAGCAGCTGAAGGCTGGAGGGGTAAGCAGCGGCCGGCTTTTGGATTCCCCCGCCGCTCTCTGCCTGTCCTCCCCGCATCAGCGGATCAGCATCCTGGAATCATGTCAGCCGACCTGTTGGTCCCAAACATCTCTGTCCGCCTCTGCTAAAAATACAGCACTGCCGCCTCCCAAGCCTCCTTTGAGCAAGCACGCTTCTGCTCTGCTTTCTCATTTGTTCCCCCACCCCTTTCTTGCATTTCCCCATCGCATTTACTCCGCTATAGCCATGGTCCAAATCACAGAGTTCGACGACGAGAATGTGCCGCTCATCGAGTCCATGAAGGAGCTGACTTCAACCGGGGCTGGCCACGACAGCGACGAGACCGCACACAACTCGCCCAAGCTCGAGTACCCGAGCGTCTCACGCATCGTGCGTGCTGGGCCAAAGCTTGGCCCTGATGGCAAGCCAAAGTACCTGATTGACGACATCCCCGACCACGAGAAGATGCGGCTGATCCGCGAGTCAGGCGTGCTGAAGCAGATGAAGCAGGACGGCAAGGAGGTCGACTACGACGAGCTAGACCGGCTCGAGGCCGAGGCCGAGCGTGCCGAAGACGAAATTCCCACGTGGATGAATGCTCTCATCTACACGCTGGCGCTGTCGTCCGTGTACGGGCTGTTTGAGGCCCTGGTCAGCCAGCAGTACAGCATCGAGATCACGGCAACAGAGATCCTGAAGCGCATGCTAAACATGTCGCCAGCCATATACTTTATGGTGTATGTCACATACAAGTTCCGGTTCTCTCGGGCCATGTCGCTGGTGATGCTGGTCTTTGCCTGCGCCAGCGGATGCTACTTTGTGCACCTGAGCCTGCACGCTCCGCGTCTGGGTATCATGAAGCGCGCTCCAGGACTTGTTACCATCTGGATCTACCTGACGTTTATGCAGGATGTGCGCCCAGCCATCATCAACGCGTTCGTCGTGTGCGCGTTCTGGCTAGCAGATCCGTTCAAGTTCCGGCTTTAACAAGGAGTTTACTCATAAATACATTTCTCCTACTTCACCGGATCAGCGTGTATTCGGTCTGTGACTGCTCGATTTCAAGCTGCCGCAGGTGCCTAGCAACCTTGCGCTCCAGCAGCCTGTCTGGCTGCAAATCGCGCACGTTCACTGTGTGAGAGCACCCGGCCACCGGACACGGGCACGAGCCATGCCTGGCCCTCAGCATGCTCATGATCGAGTCCTTCGAATAGCTGTGCTTGCACGTCCTGCTGGTGACTGGGTTGTTCAGCCACGCCATCGAGATCGGGCATTTGTACGTGAGACGTGCCCCCGAAACCACCAGGTCGTCGTCGTCACTGCTATCCTCGCCGCCCTCAAACAGACTTGGCATCGGCTCGCCCTCATGGTTGACCTCCCACACCTGCTCGCGGAACTCCCTGTACTGTCCATTGCGACCGAACTTTTGTGCATCACTCTGCTTCTCGTACTTGGTCACACTCCGCTTCCACGACCGTTCGTAGCTCTGTGCCACATCGTCAGCATCAGCGTGTCGCATCGTCTGCGAGAGTAGCTCGATCTCGATATCCATGCGCTTTTTGGCGCTTAGAAGCATCCGCAATGACTCGTCGACTTCGCCTACTTTGGCTGTCTCGTTGAGTTCCTCGAGATCTGTCCCCACAAGCTTGCACGCATCGATGGCTTTGTCGGCAATGTCGGCAACGTTCTGGATGTCGGTGCTGACTGAGCTCAGGCGGCCCACTAGCTGGCCCTGTGCGTTGCTGTTGCTGTTGCTGCTGCCTCCCTGTGTGAATAGCTGGCTCATGGTATGATTAGAATGTGGAATGTGGTGTCGAACCTCCAATCATATGGTGGCCCAAAAATCAACCTGCAAATTTAGGGACTGCGGACAAACATTTGTATTTATGGCAATGTACACCAATAAGTTAGGCTTCACGTGGCAGAATCTACACCTCCTCTAGCTTCTGCCGCATACCAACATAGTCGGTGTACAGCAGCTTCGCCTTCTTGCTCTGGTACCGCGTGAGCTTGACAGACTCGCGCATTTCCCTGGTAATCGTCCATTCATACCCGCCCTTGCGCAGCAGCTGATCCACCGTCTTTTCCTTTGACCACCCCTGCTCCTCGGCAATCTCGGGCAAGAAGGTCGCGGTTTGGCGCCGTCCGTTTGGCATCCTAAACTCCACCCACACCCCATGCTTTCCAATCTCCCAATCCAAGTAGTCGTTGGCTTCCTCAAAGTCTGTCAAGAGCGAGACCGAACACGACAGCTGTGGGAGCTCGCGCAGGGTGATAGGGTTAAACCGGGTATCGCGGAGCGCACTTGTCAGGGCATATTCGCGCAGACCGTTTCCGAGCTTCATGGCCGAGAAGTTGCCAATGCAGCCGCGTAGCCGGTCGTCGTCGCCACGGTACTGCTTACTCCACGTAACAAAGAGCGGGTAGCAGGCGCTTGCGTCAAAGCCTGTGGGGATGCGGCTGGTCGGCTTGCCCTCAAGGTGAGACACCAGGACATCGAAGCAATAGGCGCAGTGCTGCTTGGTAGCCATATGTAACAAATAAAAGCAGTTGAAAAAAGTAGAGAGCAGTTTACAAACAGAAGGAGAGCTGGCCTTGGCTGCAATTTCCGGTGGTGGCTGAGGTGGTCACAGGCACAGTTCGAGCCGTCATGCAGCTCGATTTATTGGGCAGCTCGCGGTCCAGGTTTTTCACGCGCTCTTTCCATTTCTGGGCTGTTGCGAGCGCGTAGGACCGTTTGTCCTTGCACCCTTCGCCAAAACGAGAAGATTACCAGACCACCCATGCTTTCTGTCTCCCCAATCCCACGACCGCTCCTAATTTCCCTACTTCTTCCATGACGCCCTTAGCACCCCTCCATCTACTCCTTACATTTGCCGCCTTGTCTCTCGGCTCCATGATTGGCAGCCAGAGCATTACACCGCACGACTACCAGAGCCTGGGCAATGCATTGGCCATCTCTGCGCCCTCGTGTGGATATCCGTATGCCACACTGGACATTAGTCGAATCACAGCAGTGCAGAAAATGAACACCGGCTATGAGTGCGGCACATGCCTGCGTGTTGAGACAGACCTATCCAACTACATCGAGTACGGTGAGACTGTTGGGCTGCCAGGTGTCGCAATGGCCACACACTTTGAGGCAACCACAACCAAATTTGAAGTTCTGCCAACCACATCCGTGTCACCGGTGCGCAGACGCCAGCAGCTAGTAAAGCGCGCCGACACAGTCCGGTATGTTTACGTCCTGGCTGTCGATACTGGTGGCCTGGGGCTGGACATGGCACAGGTTAGCTTTACTGCACTGTTCGGCCAGAGCATGTCGCCAATGCCTGCCGTGTGGTTCCCGGTTGACGGCAAGTATTGCTCAGATATCTGGCGCAACTCAACAAAGAAGCAAATGCAAGTCCCAACTTCGATGCGCAAGGTTCCTGTACGCTC